AGGATGGAGAAGGGCCCCATCGTTCTGCGAGAGGAGGGACGGTATTGGAGGTAAGTGAAGTATTTCCTCCACTATTTCCAATAGGTGGGCAAACCATGGCTGGTGCGGCCACCATGGAGCGATGAGGATTGCGTTTGTTCAATACTGAATGATTCTGGTTACAGTCTTGAGAAGCAGTGGTATTGGAGGAAACAGGTGAGTTCCCCAGACCACGGTATGAGGAAGGTGTCTCCGAGGGAGGAGGTGTCTATGTCTGCCCTGGAACAGTATCAGTTGCATTTGACGTTCACATGGGACGCAAAGAGATCTGTCGTTGGCTGTCCCTATCATCGGCAGATGTCCATGAAAACTGCTTGGTTGAGAGCCGAGTCGTGCATCCTGGTGGGTAGCCTGCTTAGATGGTCCACCAGGGAATTGTCTCCGGATGCAATGTGGATCGCTTGGGGGAAAATGTGCTGAGTATGGCACCATTCCCAGAAATGTATGGTCAAGCGAAGGAGGGGCAGGGATCAAGTCCCGCCCTGTCTGTTTAATGCATTACTGTGGTATTGTCCATTACCAGCTGTACTGCCCGTCCTTTGATACGTGGCAGGAAGGCTTGGAAGGCTTTTATGATGGCAAGCAACTCTAGCTGATTTATGTGGAGGGACTTTTGATGTTCTGTCCACAGGCCATGGACTCGCAGCTCTTGACAATGAGCCCACCCCCGCCCCCAGCCTGAGGGGCTGGCATCCGTGATGACCTGGATGGACAAATACGGAGGGTGAAATAGCCTCCCCATCGACAGGTTGTTGGGAATAGCCCACCAGATGATATGTCATGCCACATGTGGAGAGACCCGTAATTTTTTTGTAGGAGGGTCCGTCATGGGATCGTACTGGGTGAGGAACCAAGACCGAAGTGATCAGAGCTTGAGTCTTGCGTGAAATACCACCAAAGTTGTGGACGACATCAGACCTAAGAGGTGCTGAGTATTGTACGCAGTCACCGATGCGAATGGAGTAAATTTGTGGGCCGTCGCCTGGATCTTGAGGGTTCTTTGAGGCGGTAGGAAGGCTTTTATGTGAATAGAGTCCAGAATTGCTCCTATGTAGGAGACGATCTGGGAAGGTACGAGGTGCGACTTTTTCCCCGATCTGGGAAGGTACGAGGTGCGACTTTTCCCCGTTGATCTTCAACCTGAGTTTGTTTAGAATACATAGGGTGAGATTTGTGGCAATGATCTTCAACCTGAGTCTGTTTAGAATACACAGGGTGAGATTTGTGGCAGAGACTGCATCTTGAATAGGATTTTGCCACTAGGAGTCAATCGTCGATATAGGGAAAGATTTTTATCCCTCTGGTATAAAGGTATGCCACAACTGGGGCCATGCATTTTGTGAATGCCCTGGGGGCTGTGGAAAGCCCGAACAGGAGAGCGGTGAATTGGAAGATGTCGTGATGAAACCAGAATCGAAGAAATTTTTGATTAGACGGGTGGATGGAAATGTGGAAATAGGTGTCCTGCAAGTCAATGGTGATGAACCGGTTTCCCTGAGACAGAAGAGGGAAAATGGAGTTAGGAGTCAACATACGGAACTTCTTGTATAGTATGTAATAATTAAGGTCTCTAGGGTCCATTATGGATCTGATACCACCATCTTTTTTGGGGACTGCAAAGGAGCAAGAGAAAAAGCCCTCACTGATGTCAGAGGATGGTACTCTGCTTATAGCCCCTTGGGAAAGTAGATACGAAATTTCCAGATGCAACGGAATGGAAAATGGAGTAGTCTTAACTGAATTTGGTAAAGGGGTTTGCAAGAATTTAATCAGACAGCCTTTCTCAATGATGTTAAGAACCCACTTGTCAGTGGTGATGTTGCACCACTCGGAAAGAAATGGGAGCAGTCTGGTGGTAAATGAAAGATTAGGAGAATTGCTTACCCTCTATGCTGAGTCTTATGAAAGGACTGCGTGGGGCTGCGAAAGTGTTGTTGCTTGAACAGCAGAGTGGTGGACTGTTGAGATTGATAGGTCCTGTCCTGCTGTTGTTTACTGTACTGAAAGGGTTGGTACTGAGTAGAGGATTGATACAGAGGCTTTTTGTAGGCTGGTTTATGGTACCGATATGGCTGGTATGGCACGTAAGTATTTCGCTGTCTTCCTCATTTTGTGAATGCTCTCCATGATTGCGTCAGTTTTGGAGTTAAAGAGGCCAATAGCATCAAAGGGAAGATCTTCTATTTTAGTTTTAGTGTCTTCGAGGATGTTAGCTGTTCTAAGCCATGCGTGGCATCTAATAGCTACTGCAGTTAACATAGAATTGGAGGCCGTGTCTGCCGTGTGTTTTGCAGTGAACCTCTGTTGCCTGGTGAGGGTATTAGCCTCTTTGTAGACGTTGAGAGCCTCAGTTTTAGAAGGATCAGGTAGTTTGTAACATTGGGAGTACTTTATCCCAAAGATGTTTCTGGTAAGTGCCCATAGCCGTTTGGTAGTTGGCTATTTTAATTAGTAAGGCAGAGAAAGAATAGAGTTTTTTTGCCCAAGGTATCGGTCTTTTTTCCTTCTTTGTCAATGGGCGTAACAGATGATCAAGTACGCAACTTATATTGGGTAGCTTCAACCATGATTGAGTTGGGCGAAGGGTGTTTGGTGAGGAATTCAGAGTCCAATCCATGTGTTTTATAATGATGCTCAATCTTGCGAGGTACTTGGTTAGCCGTAGGTGACATATTCCAGGAGGTTTTGACCAGGTTGAAGAGAGCTGGTATAAGGCTTAGACTAGGAGGGGAGGCTTTGTCCTGCTCTATGTCATGAAAGACTAAGTCCCGTTAAATTGTAAACTGCCCGGAGAGTGCTTGTAGCGCTATGGGCGGTATATAAGTCCAAAATAATAATAATAATATTAATAATAATAATAATATTAATAATAATAATAATATTAATAATAATAATAATATTAATAATAATAATAATATTAATAATAATAATAATATTAATAATAATAATAATATTAATAATAATAATAATATTAATAATAATAATAATATTAATAATAATAATAACTGGAGAGTTTTTGCCATACGCATGGTCAGTTGTACGTAGGATGAGAAATCCTCCAAGGAAGATTGAGATGATGAACCCTGACCACCGGCATTAGGAATGTCAGAGACACTGAAGGCTGAAGAGTGGTCACTGTGGAAGGACCGAGAGGCAATTGAAGGGGAGTGTTGTGGTACCGTATCCCCTCATACAATGTCCATATCGAACTGAGTAGATAGGGAAAAAGGCTCAGTATCATGACTTCCAGGACCAGAGTAGAGAGTAGTAGCCTGAACCAAGGAGTGGCGGCTGCTGTACTTGGCACGTTTAGGAGGCGCTGTAGGTACTGTAGGAACTTGCCTCTTACGTTAAGGTGCCTGTGGTGTAGAAAGTTACACTTGAGTTTGTGAATGAGGTTGCATCGGTGGGGCTATGGTATAGTGCTATGCTGGTTGAGGAAAGGTAGTGCTCCAATACTCGAATGGGTAAGCATAACCCTGGTATGGTTATGGCTGGTATGGAGCATAGAAAGGGTGGCCAAAATGTGGCAGACCCTGTTGACAGTACCCATCTCCTGCATCTTGTGCTTGGTACGGAGTGGTATGTCTATGCTTTTCCGTCTGTTTTCTAGGAGTGTCGTGGACAAACTCATGTTCCAATGGAGACTCGGTATCAGCCTGCCCTGAATATCAAGGGCTAGTTGGGGCAATGGCCAGGCTGGCAGCTGCCACAGCCTCAAAATGGCTCGAGTTCAAAGACATGCACATAACGTCCTGAGCTGTCTGGGCTGGAGGAATGTGCTTCTCAGTATCACAGAGTTCAATGCCTTCCCTCGAAGACTCCTCGAGCAATACTGAAGGAGCGGGAGGAGGTAAAGTAGAGTGCTTAGATGGCTTCTTCAGTTTCTTAGGTTTGTCACTGATTTTCTTTTTTGTAGAAATGGCGGGACGAGAAGGCACCTTGGCTTTAGGTTTAGGGGCTTCCTTGGACTTTACAGGCAAGGAGATGGTAAGAGTAGCCTGTTCAGCAGGGGAAGGAGCTGATTTAGAGTCCTCTGAGCGCAGAGGAGTTGGTGAAGGGAGAGAAGAAACTTCCATAACAGGAAGAAGAGTCTTTTCGTAGAGGAAAGAACCGAAGGCGTTGGCGCCTGAGCTTAATGGCTTGTTTAGAAAAAACCCTGCAGGCGACGCAAGTCTGATCGAGGTGGGATTCACCCAAACAAAACAAGCATTTATCGTGGCTCTCTGACAAAGGAATTTTGCGGGAGCAGATGGCACACTGCTTGAAGCCCCAAGGGGTCATAAAACAGGAGGGGAATCTGGGGTGGGGAAAACGACAGAACGAAGGCAAAATAAAACAAAAAAGCAAGTTCGGTCGAGTAAGAAACAACATAAGGTAAAAAGGAGATAAAATTAACTAGCTAGGCTAGAATACTTAGCAATATATTCGCTTTGCTCTTCCTAACGTCCTACAGGAACGGCGGAAAAAGAGGAACTAAAAGGAAGGTTGAAGGAGCAAAGTCTATACCATACGGGGGGGGGGGGGAGAACTAAACTGTTTCTTTTTCGAAGCTCTAGAATTTTCCGGACATTCTGCACAGGCGCAGGATTAACCCATTTGTGTACATTCACAGAGACCACTACGAAGAACTGTAAGATTTGTTTAGAACATGTCAGGTTATATCCCATTCTTATGCTTACATGCTGCAATAAAACCGTTAGTCCGAAAACAAGAAAATCTGTATTAGCCCCTGAGAACCACTGAGCTAACAGCTTAAAACAAAAGCTTTTGCAGTGGAAGGTGTTGCGGCCAAGGGAGAACTGTACCCTTTGCAAAGAGTAAAATAAAGGCAGTGCTGTTAACCCAAGAGATGAGACATGAAAATGAAGGGGCAGACTGAGATCTGCTTGAGATCACATGCTCTTTCCTTTCTCCACCTTTGAACTCTAGATATATGGAACATAGTACTCAACACACCATTTCCAAGTGTTAACCATTTATAAATAAGTACATTTTTTCATACATACAGTTCATTGTACAGGTTACAATCTGTATACATTAGGGAGTGGTGGGGGAGAATGCATTCTTTTTGAACTTTTTCCACGTCTATCTCACAGCTCACATGTACAGACAATAAAACTCTGCTCAAGCAAGTACAGTGAAGGGAAAGAAACACTTTTCTTTCCTTTATACACGGTTGGCCAAATGCCTTAGCCAAGCGCAGGGATTTGTGCGGCTGCCCTGCTGCAAAAGATCATTAACTGTGTGGTGACTCAATATCAGTAAGAGAACAGAACATGCAATTGAGTATTATTATACTGTACAGAGAAAATCCTTTACATCAGAATTATAGAAAAGCTAAAAGGAAAAAATAACTCAGTTGTCTTCCCAGCAAGTGTCTTGAAGGATGGCAAACCAGAAAAGTTTTAATACAAAGGAGTGCTGTGTTACTGTACAGAGGCAGACAAGGCAGGCAAAATGCTGCAATGCTAAAAGGGAAGAAAATTCAGTGAAAAAACACCACTGGAATGGGAAACATTTGATTGGTGCGTTAAGAATAGCAAAACATTCATCTTCTCTCCAAAACTAGCCCAAATCCTAAACCTATATAGATCAGTGCCCTGCATTCTGTAGAAATGTTAGTACTGGTAAATAAGAATGGGTATGTGTAGGACGTGGCATCAGGGGACTGAATCCAGATTTAGTCATACTTAATATAGTTAATATAGCCAGTATCCCATTCAACAAATGAGAAACAGAAGAGCTATCATGTAATCTCCACTCTGGCAATCTCCCTATCACATATCTGATTTTGCAACCAGTATGAGACCAGATACATGATAGGGAGCCTGCAGGAGCAGGTGGAATATTTGCACAATTGCCCTTTCAATAAGTGAGTAGGATATTGGTGTCACTAAATCGTAACTTAATTGGCCCATTGATTCTGATGGCTCTAGTCCAAGTACAACTAAATCTGGATCCAATTCAGGATCTGTTGGTTGCCCAGGCAGAACCAAACTGAACTGCCCCACCTCTCTCATGACCCAGTAGGATGGCAGCCCGGCAGCCCACACAGAAAAGCATCCTGTTTCACTTCTAAGCAAATTTAAAAATACAAAATCTCCTATTTCCCCAGTAGTCTCTCATGGGTACACTCAAATTAAAGAACACAGAAACAGCCCATGGCCAGTAGTGTCTGCCTCTCTAATGAGAAAGTGGTTATGAGAGCAACTCAATGTGATTGCCAAGAAGGAAAGGATTGAAGGGATTCACTTGTAGTGAAAAGTCTAGTCTGGTATAATAATTTGGCAATACTAAATTGAGGTTCTCGAGAATAATTCTGCCACCATCAACAACTGCACACAAAATAGCCTGCTATTTAAGTTCAGCCCTTAGTATATTTTTGTTTTTGTTGGGGGAGAAATAATTATCCAGCAATAGTATTCAAGTACTTCTGGAGAGGGGCAGTTCAGATTTTCCACCCCTTTGTGCTTGTGCCCCAAGTTTCTCCTTCCCTTTTGATAGCAACCATAAATTTAGTGAAGGCATACAACATGTCAAAGGAGGTGTGTTAGAATCTTGCCCCCTCTAAGCCCTTTTACAGCTGAACTCTGGTAAGGTGAAGTTCCTGAAATTCTTTGTTATTTAACTATGGGTGGGGTGGGATGGGGTGGGAGAGGAAATGCAGCCTTCCATCCAAAGGTTTGGAAGGGGTCATATTAAACAGAGAAGAAGAATTTCTAGGCACGCAGTGATGTTTGTTTCTTTATGTAAGGCGCAGAGAAGCTGGCACTTCGGTTTTTATTAGATGACTTTCTGGATGGATCTGGAATAGTAGCAATTTGTTAACCACTGCCCAAGGCAATACTAGTGACTTGGGTTCTCAGAATATGTGCAGGCTTGTTCCTTTCCTCTCATGTCCATTCTCTAATGCTTATAAAAATAAATGCATGAAAGAACCCTAAAGGCTTTGCATTTGAAATAAATGTTCTTCTCTCAAATGATTTGCAATCTGTGGACGGCCTTTGCCTCTTCGAAACTAGCAAGGAAGGTGTATCTCCTATACTGTACAATTCTTACGTTTTGAATATGAATCTTAAAGGAACTCTTATCCTGTAAGAACATTTGCTACAAACAGCATGAAAGTCATGCACAAAGCTGTCAGCTATCTCCCCTGAAGCCAAGCCAAGCTGAAATGTATTCAGATCTGTCCCATTTTTAGGATCTGGTAGCATATTTTTAGTAGCTTAGCTTAGACTAATTATTTCAGAATCCTTGGTACTGTCATCAAATTTCTAGGCACCAATGTGGCTAAATCTTGAAGGAGTAGACTTGAGTCAAATTAAAAGTGGTATCACTTGTACAAATGTAGTTACATTTAAACTTTTTTTAATATGTAAAAAGTCATGGGGGAGCACAGAGAGTATGCAGGGGTACTCTAAATTTGTTTCACTGCCATGGTCCCACAGAAACCACTACTCTGAAGCTGCTATTTGCATTTCAGGGGAAGCTTTCACATATACCTTTGGAGATGATTTTTGTTAAACTTTGGCACTGAGAGAAATAATTAACTCTCTTGTGCAGTTCTGTGGCTGGTTAGGCTTTATTTGATTCTCAGAACCAACTGTTGCAGCTTCAAGAGCTATGATTCCCCATAAGCCAGCAGCCACATACAAATTCTGGTTTCATTTCCAGTGAGCCAATATAGGTTATCTATAGTATCAAAATAACCTTGCATGGTAGGTTTCAGTAAAATACACATTCAAAGTAGAAATATTGTTGTAGGAAGCTGATTTGGTGCATTTGACTTTGTAGGTAAAGAAATTTCTGAAACTCTAATTTAGATGAAACTGTGGCGATGAATGGGCAGATGCTGACATAACAATAAAATCCAATGTTAGTCCCACCTAAAACAAGTCCTATTAATTTAAAAGGACCTACTGTAATTAGGTCTGACACTGAATTTAGTGCACAAACTCATATGTAACACCTCAGGGCCGTAGTATTAGCCATTCTGTCACACTTTCCTGAGTAGGAGCAGCTCACTGGAAAAGGCATTTAAGCTCCAAGGAGAACAGTGAACGCAATTACTTTGTGCTCTTAACTTATTATTTTACAGGAGAGAACACAATGAAAAACCAAGATTTAAGCTGTGGGAAAATATAGAAGGAATTGCCTCCTGCTAAATTCTAACAGACACCAGGAAACCAACAAAAAGCCCACTTATTTTGTCTGACCTGTATGTGTTACTTGGTAACTAAAAGCAGCAACACTTAAGTCTCAGGTGCCCCTAAAGAGAATTGCTGGGAGAGCAATTTGGTAAGTAACAGCAAATATTTCTCTCTGTATTGTAAAAAATTACCTTTTGATGCCTATATACAACAGCTAATACTTGTGCTATATATTTGAATCATTGTTTTTTTAAAAAAATACACTGAAAGACAAGAGCTGTTCTGTTGTATTTCTAATGAAGACACCAATCACGCTTAAATAACCAGTATTTATCATTGTAACAAATGCCACTGTAAAGTGCACCCCATTTACAGAGAAGAGCAGGTGGCAAACCCATCAGTGCAAGAATCCTATGAAATCACAACACAGTACTGTTGGGGGAGAGAACACCCTGCACAATGGCAATATTAAGATCTTGTTTTGGACGTGCATGCCACTTGTTTTACTAACTGCTTAATATAAACAGGTACAGTACTGGGAACCCAATGGCAGTGAAGAGCACAGCAAAGCAGCCTGATTCAACACTAAAAGCATTGTGTCATCAAGAAGATTCAAATTTTCAAACTGCAGAAATATTGGCATGACAGCAGCATTGCTCCTCACTTTCCATGTGATGGAGAAGGCTAATTTTGGTTATTTTCCCCAATTGTTTGATCAGAATAGATAGAATAATGCAATATCTCAGTGCACTCCCAACTGTATGAAATAAATGGTAAAAATATCTTCTATTTATAGCCCAAATGCAGAACCAGTTATTTTGACCTTCCACTGTCTGGTGTAAAAAAAAGTATTAGTTTCTGTTTGATGCAAGCATTCCCTAACCTTGTGTTAAGAAAGAAATAACTGATAACTATACAGAAACGTATTCCTATTTGATAGTTATTCCAGTTTTAGAGAGTTTAAAATGGTCTTCATAAAACAGAAAACATTTCAAAAATAAATTTTAAGAAGGATCCCTTCATATCACACAAAACAATTCTGGACCGTTTTGTTAAAAAAAAACCCACCTTCCCTAGGATGTAAAAGAAATACGTATGGTGAGATGAGAGACTGGCTTTAATCTATCCTGATGATAAAGGGAAGGAAATATAGAAATATGCACCCTCTTTATATCTTGGGTTATCTGTAAAACCTCTGCCCTGTTTTTCTCCCCCTGCTCCACCATGAGCATCACACTGTCCCTTTCAGTGTGTAAGTTAAAATAGTACTGAAACGTTCACTCCTTGAAAAGAACCTACAGTACAGAGTTTTGTATTTGTTGGACACAAGCATGATCTTAGCAGAATGATGCCACTTCTTTCCCACATTGTCTTGTTTGCTACTACAGCAAACAGATTTTAGAATGCAACCAAGAACTAGAAAAAATGCAGAAAGTGTTTCTAATTAAAAGGCCAAACAATTGGTAAAAATCTTTAGCATTTGTATTGTAATTGTGACAAGAATGAATTAACTAAAATTTCCTGAAACTGCTACATTAACCTAACTTTTTCTGAGATCCAGGACTTTAAAGAAGGAACTACCTATAACACTCCAAGGGTGTGGAACCTACCAACCTCATTTTGAAGGTGTACTCCCTGCAGCTTGATGGTAATATCTTTTTATTAGAAATTTGAATAGCTTAAAATACCTTTTTACTTTTATGTCACTGTTAGTACAGGGGAGCTCATGGTGACAATACAAATATTTTGAAAAGTAGGTATGTAGTGAAAATAAATAATGTGTACTTCAGTGCCTTTTCATAAATCTTGGCAAAATGAAAATGGAAATCTGTCATTTCGGGGGTGGGGGGTGGGCAAGAAATGAGCAGTCAAGTTCATCTGCAGCCATGGTTTGGAGTAACTCTCCCACTTTGTTTAATTTACAGAAAGCATTTAAGTAAGTTTGAACCTTGGTTTTTATAAAAATGCAGAAAGTGCACCAAGTGATTTGTGTTGTTTTGAGTTTCTGCCATCTTTAAGGTTATGAGGATGTTTTGTTTCTCTAGCTTCAATATTCTCGGGGCTTACACTGACAGATTAATCATTCCACATTTACTTAGGGGTTATCAACTCAAACCTTCCTGAGCTGACATACAGCAGCATGGATTGAGACTCATTTGTATAAAGCCCCTGGTACCCAGGCATCTCTCTTGCTTTCAGATTTCCCATTGCCCCCTTTTTTTTTGTCAAAGTGTGGTATTTTCTCAGCATTCCTTAATAATCTGCTCTGCCTTCTATATTTGGGCTGGAAAAGCAATCCAACCTCCTCGACACCAAAGCCATATTCCTTAAATTGCATTTTCAAATTAATTTAGATAATCCAAATTATAATGTGCCATAACCAGAGAAGAGCAGTGGAACAAAGTGTTTCACTCAAAAAATGTCTGCAGGAAAGCAATGCCCTGCTAACTCGAAGCATTTCTACTCCAGGAACCTACTGCTAGAAGAGCACTAATACTGAATCTAGAGTGAGTGCATTAATTGCTACTATAGGAATGCCTGTTCAAATTCAGGTCCTTTTCTCCAGGCAAACTCTCTCTCTCAGATTTCCAGATAATGGACTATGTTTCCAATATCTCCATGTAGCACCAGGAATCATGGGAATTGTAGTCTAATATCTAAGAAGCCTAGGCTGAGCAAGATTGCTTTAAAGCAGTGGGATAGACATACAAATTTTAATAAACATTGTTTATATCGGACCACTACCTGAAGAGTTACTCAGCAAGATGCCATTCCATGTGGAGGACAACTTACTGGAAAAGTAACATCTGGACCGAGGTGGCCACCTGCTGATTGGCTAAAGAGGAGAGAACACTGATTTGTCTCTGAATATTTGTTCAAATATCTCGGAGAAAATCAAAGCATTATCATTTGAAATATGCTTTCCAAACCAACATTACCCATGAAAGTCTATACCAACAGACTAGCAGGCAAAGATGTTAAAATTCACAATAATGCATTTTTAATATTAGTGTATAGTCCAATTGTATCAGATAAGCAAGATGGGTTTTATGCATAGCTCCTCATTAATATTAAAAACAAAACAAAGCTCCATTTGGTGCAGGTTAACAAGCTCTTTGGACACAATGAAACAATATGGACAGCATTGGGCTGACAGAAGAGTGCAGTTTTCAACCAAAAAGGCTCAGTACTTTGGAGGAAATTTTAAAGACTATTAAAATTAGTTTTTTTTAATTACAATTTTTCTTCAAAGAGCTGGTTACCTCCCTTGAGTGTATATAGAATTTGTCTGGGTTAACCCCAATACTGTATATGAACATTGCCTAATTAACCACTGAAAACACTGACAGTGCTGGCTTTATCTGAGGTCAACTATGTGTAGTAAAGGGTTTTGAGGATGTCTTGGACTGCCTCATCATCACACAGAAAGCACAAGAAAACCCCTGGTTGGCAGTCTGCTCTTGAATGAAAATCTTAAAAAGAAAGGAAGAAACAGCAACAGAATATGAGAATTCAGCCGGGAAAAGTGTGCTGAAAACACAAGGCTTTTACTCCAAGACACATCCATTTCACACATTAGACTCCACAAATGGTCTCTTTGGTTTGATAGGGGATGTCTGTCCTTGCCTGGAGTCCCTAGACAGTTGCCTATAGAGGTTGTCCTGATACGCCTGTGCAACAGGCAGTGTCCTAGCCACCTTAACATCGGGATATGAAGACGTTTGGCTAACTCTCTCCAGAAGGTCTCCTCGGGAGCCATTGGCTAACATCCCATGTGGGCTGTAGTAGTCTTCTTCCAGCAAATGTCCATTCTGTGCATTGTTGGTTTTGTTATAAAAGGCAATGCTGCTGATAGAGGAAGGTGGACTGAATGTTTCTTGCTGGGGAAGATTTCCAGGAGAAGTGGGACTTATAACAGTATCCACTGAAGACACAGCCCAGGTTCTGTTCTGTTGGTGCAGATGGGGATACTGTTGAGTCCGGGCAGTTTTATCGATGATGCCCATGAAAGGTGTGGTCCTGGAGCGGGCAGGCTCGCTGGGGTATCCACCCTGTGTTGGAGAGACTGGGGAAAGCTCATCACATGATCTATCATAAGCTGGCTTAAGGGGAATTTCCATCTGCTGAATAGAAGAAGAAGGGCGGAAAGGAGGGTTCACATTGGTGGTGGAGGAGATACTATTGCTAGAAGGGGAAAATCTGAGGCCAACACTTTGTGAATGAAGTAAAGGCCTTGGAGTTGGTGGATGAGGTTTTATTTCACTGGGGTTTACTGTCATGGGCCTTCGTATCAAGTGAGAGATGTCAGGGGAACCAAGCTGAGTGGAAGGTAGGGAGGAACGTTCCAGGTCAAGCTTGGTATGACAGACTGGATAATAGGAAGCTGACTGGCTACGGCCAATCTGTGGGGTTTGACTGTATCTCATCCCACCACGGTAGGCAGAGGAAGGCCTCTGTGGAAGATCCTCTTTAGCTAGTCCTCCATGCTGGCAGATGGCCCCTGCACTTAGGCTGGCCTGAACATGCTGCACTGGCCTGCCCTCCCCCACTATTCCTCCAATGGAGCTCTGGTAAACCAGCCGACTTTGGCCAACAGCCACTTCTGCTGATGCAGACTGGTATTTGTTGGCCGATGAGTGAGTAACCTGGCCGTAAGTGCCTGTGGGTATCACAGTACTGCAGTGAACAGCTGAACTTGGCTGATTGCTTCGGACAATCTGTGCCTTGGCAGGCTGCAGCCTCAGTCCTTGTTGAGGAACTGCAACAGGTAGTGGAAGCATTTGGAAAGACCTTTGTGTCATTTTAGAGAGTGGAGACTTTGGCCGACTGGGAAGCTGACTGATGCTTGGTTCCTGTTGATATCGTACTGGTGAGCCTGACTGAGCTCTGTAGACACTCATGCTATCTGCAGGAGGGCTGGCTCGGTATTGAGGACCTCTACGAAGAGGTGAAGGGGGCGGACTTTGATATTCTTTCCCTTGGCTACTAACTGGAGGTGGGCTAAAACGGTAAGAGGAAGCCTGGTGAGCAGGAGATGTGTGTGGTGGGCTAGGCCTATAATGAGAGTTCTGGTGTGTTGGGGAGAGTGCTGGAGAGGTGGGCTGATACCCCTGCCTCGTTGGTGATCCCACAGAAGTGTTGGACCTGAAGTCAAACACCTGATGTGAACCAAGTGGTGAGCTGGAGATGTAGGTAGATTCACGGTGGGCGGGGGAAGAGGGAGGGCTCTGAATGACAGACAGTGCTTGGCTGGGCCGTGACTCTGTCTGCAAACCAACAGAAATATTTTCTACATCTTGTTCAAGATACTCCTCTTCCAAGATATCTTGCACTGCATACAACTCTTCATGCTGTGGTTCAGGTTCAGGTACTACAAGAGGTGGTTGCTGCTGTAGTTGTGCCTGTGTCTGCCTGCACTCTTCTTCTACCCGCATCAGCAGCCGCTGAATCTCACGGTTGTTCGGACAAAGCTTGATGGCCTCGTTCAGGTCCTCCAGTGCTGCTGAAAACTGCCTGCTTGGCCAAAAGAGGAGACAAAAGAATAAAAACCAATGTTACTCTGGATTGGAATGGATTTAATAATATGTTAAGTAATAAGATTCTTATGAAGAAAAGCATTGCAAATCATAATAGGGGTGGTGGTCTTCCAAATCTTATAACACTGATTCTTCAGCCTTTGGCTGTTTCATCCATTTCTGCAGCAACAGAAATAAGCCACTGTGTCCAAAATTGCTTTCTTAGAAATGAAGGGAACAAGGAAGGCAACTTTGGGGTTTGTATAGGTCTGTTCCTTCAACTATTTAAGAGTCGAGCTTAAGTCCATAAATGCTTCAGGTAGGGGGCAAGCTACAGCCTTTCTTCAGCCAGTGAATGCTGATCTGAGGGTTGGTCTCTTGGAAATGGAGGGAACAAGGAAGGAAGAGTATCTAACACGAGGCCACAAGGCCTGTGGTTATCTTTTGAGGAACAGAAGGGTGGGAAGTTTGGGGAGAGGTGGGTTGTCATTTACAGGGACACTGGTAGCTTTTGAACAAAACAGTCATCTGCTTGAATGTGATTGATTCGCAGAGAATATCCTTTAAACCCTTTGTACATTTTATTTTCTTGTTTGACTTTCATATGTCTTTTTATAACATGAAAATTGCTGAAACCTTTAAAAGTTTGACTTCATGCTGACTGTAGATGCTGGAAGTTGCTGGATGTATACTGACTTCTGTTGCTGAGGTAAGGCAAAACTTTTTTTACTATAGGGGGTCCTGAAAAACTGAATGCATCAAAGTCCCAGAAAGGAACTTGGTTGTTAGACTTCTTAACAAAATATTAGAAACATTGGAGAGCCATATAAAAGTGCATAAAAAGAGGGAAAGTATAACACGGACTGTGGACTAATTAGAAAAGTGATGTTTCTAAATGCAAGTTTAGACCCAGCAATTCAATGGGCTGTCCTTGAGATGAGCAGTTGTGCTGCAGGGTCTCTGGTGCTCATCTGGGTGGATATAAAAATAGGTAGGCAAAGTACAGCTGTCCAAATATTGTTGGACTGCAACTTCCATCAGACCATCCCAGCCTAACCAATGCTGAAAAATGTTGGGAGCTCCAGTGCAACAAAATTTGAAGCACCACAGCTTCCCCATAACTGTTATGGAAGAATATCTGGCACAAGATAAAATTCCACATACCCAGAGCAGTTATTTTACTCCACGAGCTAACCAAAGACGCTAGCAGTACTCAAAAGACAACCTTCTCCAGTGATGAGTACTTCGGTATGTGATTTTATATGCAGATGATGATTCAGGGCCTTCTTGAGCCGCAACTCCAACATAAATAAGATACATCCCAAGCATACTGCTCTAACCCAATCCCCTCTCCCACAAAAAAACCGTTCTCTTATGCAATGACTGGCTAACCCTCTGACTCTGTCCTCCAAACAGTCAGCTGCAGTATACTTATTTTATTTATTTATTTACAATATTTTTTAGCCGCACCATTGCCAGTGGCTTCTGTGCTATGACAGAGCTAGCTCTAACAGAACAATCTTATGGGATGGTCAAGCTTACAGAGTTACTGTTCTTGGAATCATAGAAAGTGCTCAGCTTAATGGATGGGGTGAGTTAATAACCTTTATTATCTGCAAATTATAATAATCACCTCGCTTGGGAATTCTCTGGCTGTTTGTTCCTTGTATGGAATGGGGGCATTTTTGGAGTGTGTCACACCCAACCTTAGGAGAACAGAACCTTTAATTTCTCTCTGACTGTCCTCTCACCTGCTGCTGCGTTTGGCCCTTGCTCTTGCATAGTAAGCTTCATAAGATTTCGGTTTCAGCTCCAGTGCTTTAGTAGCAAATTCCTCCGCCATTCCAAAATCCTGCCATTACAATAGGTGCGTAGATAAGTCATTGAATATATAAAAAAATAATATGACATGGACATATCTTTGTATGTGGATTTAGTATAATTCAACATTAATGTAGTGTCACAGATAGCTGGTATCAAGAGATCCAACCCTGTATTGTGAAGTCAAAAGTTATTAAATTCCCAAACAGTACTTCTCAAGGTCATTTGTTCCTTCTGTATACAGTATTTCCTATCTTTCTGCTAGTGGTCTGCCCTAGAAAACTGTAAAAACTCTATTCATTTCCATGTACCTACATTGCTAATATAAAAATCACAACCCAGTTCTTGATATTTTCTGGTTTTGGAAAGAAATGCTGAACTATGTAAAGTCTCTTTGGATTTTCCCATGTCTTGGGTAAGGTCTCACAATACTTGTTTTATGTATTCAAGGAACACATGAGGACATGGAATTATGCTGTGTAGCACGTGTGCCTCCCCCCAACACAGATACACAGTGACAGAAGCCTCAACATTTCTATGCTTAGTGACTGTGCAGAGCGGCCCTATGCGTATATAGAAGTATGCACATATAGCTTCTTCATGTGAGTGCTTCACTTTTTTCCAGTGAGATGACAGCTTGCTGGGGGTGGAAAGCTGACACAGGAGCCAGGTTATAGAGCACAATCCTGATTTGTCACTCTCTCAAAGACCTCTTGCATAAGGTCAAATTTCTGAATGCTCTCAATAATAATAAATTAAAATTTTAAAAGGGAGAAATTTTAAAAGAGGTTGTGAAAAGATTGTGTGAGGGGGAACCCTTCAAAATGATGTGAGTAAACCCAGTGGTGCTGATTGGAAATATACACATACTGTTGGTGATTATTACTAACATTTTGTCTCTCTTGTCTAGATTAAGGTGTTTTGCACCTTAGCTATATGCAGCTTTAATGACATAATAAGTTCATTCATTCCTTTCTTAGTTCTGTGGCCAGTACAAACAAATGTGATCTCTTTTCCTATTGCAAACCTTATCTAGCTTTAAAATGAGTTTATTTTATGTTGACTTCTGCATTATTCAGTCATTGTTTACTGTTTTACTAGAATAAACAGATCCTGATTTTTCACACATGCACACAAATACGTACTTCCCATGTTATGTTTTTAGACACAGGAACAGGAGGAAAATGGGAGGGGTGTGGGGTGTATGTTTTAACCATGAGTCACTGTTCTAGGAGAAAGCAAGAGCTTCCAAAAGGAAAAACGGCATTTCAAATCCACCAGCATCCTCCAATCTGCACACACAGAGAAATATTTTAAAAAAATCACAGCTATAAACAGCTATTTTTATATAGCAATGAATTTTTAATTGACTGAAATGAACAGCAAACCATTGCTTGGCTGTTTCAGAACTGTAAAATGCCAGTGTTCTGTGAAGGACAACCAGGTTACAAAAAGGTGGAGGTTTTCAAGGCCATTCCAGGAGTCTGGGAAAGAGTCTGGTTAGGGAGTGGTTAGGAACAGGAAAGGGAGCTGGGAAAAGATCGTGTGAAGGGAGGGAGTTTGAGAAGGAAGCCACTTACATTCATTTTCCTCCGACATCGAGAGAGATTTAGAAGCAGTGACACCTTTAGCTCCCGAAAGGTTTTCAGGTCCTCTCCAAACCCCTCTCGGGGGAATTTCTTCAGAGCATACTGATAGCGCTGGGCCGCCTCCTTCACTTTCCCTTTCTAATAGAATGGTAAACAGGTCAAAATGCATCACTCTTTCATGGTTCTACTATCTATAGAGCAGTCTACTTGAAACAATTGAATGTGCCTGCATAGTTGCATCTACAGTACAGAGAAATCTAGAAATAAGTATAGCCTGGCAGCTATTATTCCTTGCACAAGAATACTTGGCTGCTTGGAAGTCATACAGAAAATATATATTACTGCAGGAGGCCTGATATCATTTTTACATCCTCATAGGTCTTATGTGTTGATCATCATCATTGTCATCATCTTAGAACTATTGCAGGCAAAAGTGCTCAAGACAGGCACTTTCGTACTGCTAGGAGAGTTTTCTGAAGTAAGTTGATAATCTTTACTTGATAATCTCAATGCAATGAGTCAATGTGCAGGCTAATTTTCCACCAATATAATCTGCTCCAAGATTCCTGTCAAACTGGACTTTAGTGGCCTGGCACGTATGTTGGAATAAAGCAGTCCACAGTTCACAGACTATACAGTGATATCTGTAGACTAATATATGCTAGTTTTAAAACATGAATGGAGTTGGCCATCTATCAAGAGGATAGATATAAAAATGAACATGTTATCTAGTTATTGATGACAGCTATTGCAACAATTCAGCATCAGAGAATTTCAGGTTGATGACAGCTTTGCCCTCATTTGTACAGTTGTTTACTTTCAGTTGAGCAAAGTGTGAAGATAACATTCCTAATTGCTTACCATGGTTAATCAATCAGTACTGAACTATGTTTTCCAGCTCCTCTCTCCTTCTTTTTACCTTATCAGAACATCTATAGTTAAGGATTTTACCCACGCTGACCTTAACTGGCTAATGCTAGCTTGATATCTTCTTAACCAGAGTCAACAGTTTCAAAGCCTGGTTATGACAGGAATTATAGTTTATGTATACTAAAATTTGTATCTCATCTTTCTAAGCCAACTCAAGATTATGTTGATACAGTTTAAAATACTAAACAATATAACAATAAATACAATTTAAAATACACAAGAACAAGGACTAATAGTAAAAACAGAAGTGGAAGTAAATTGTTTATTTCCCTATCTAAGAATACCTACTGAAATAAAACTGTTGTCAGCATATACTTCAAAGCAAAAGTACTTCCCTGGGAAGGTTGAATTATACTCTGGGTACCACCATTGAATTAAGGGACGTGGTGGCGCTGTGGGCTAAACCGCAGAAGCCTGTGCTGCAGGGTCAGAAGATCCGGCAGTCGTAAGATCGAATCCACGCAACGGAATGAGCACCCGTCGCTTGTCCCAGCTCCCGCCAACCTAGCGGTTCGAAAGCATGCAAATGCGAGTAGATAAATAGGGACCACCTCGGTGGGAAGGTAAACAGCGTTCCGTGTCTAAATCACACTGGCCATGTGACCACGGAAAGATTGTCTTCGGACAAACGCTGGCTCTATGGCTTGAAGAGCGGGATGAGCGCCGCCCCCTAGAGTCGGACACGACTGGACAAAAATTGTCAAGGGGAACCTTTACCTTTACCTTTACCACCATTGAAAAGGTTTTCTCTGGCAATGGGAATAGGGGGCTGCAGATAATCTGGTCCCAGTCCTTTTATCTATAGCTTTAAAGGTCAAAATGAGCATCTTGAATTCAGCCTGAAAGCAAAATGTAGCTAGCAGGATAGGCATCTAATCTGGTATTGCTATTCTGAATCAAATGAAACTTCCAGGGTTTCCGCACAGTCAGACCCACTTAAACTGTATTACAATGATCCAGCCAAGAGGCTACTGTGAAATTACTGTGAGAGTTCATAGTGAACTCTTACTTCAGGAAAGAGATTAAGAGAAGTGTTATCTAGACATGATGCTCCTGAAGTTCCACTGACATACAGACACCTACACATAGGTCACCTGTCTAAGGTGGAAGGCTTTGTGGCCTAGGATCCTGTTCAGAAAGAAAGCTGTCCAATGGCTAGCTAAGAGCTTCCTGTCTGAACAGGAAGCTAGGCACAGCTTAGACTTAGCTAAAGTACAAAGCTTTTCAATTTAGGCTGTTCTCCCAGATAAGCCACATATAGATGTCTGCAAGTATCTGTATGTCAGATGGAAATCGTAGGATTAGAAATTTTGTGATTTATAGTCCCCCAAAAATCGCATGCCTGGTGTTAACCATGATTTTGGTCAGTGCAAATATAACCTCAATCATAGTTAAAGCTAGCAGGGGAACAGTTGAGTTTTATGAGGAATGGGAGGACTCCATAGTCTATTCTTCATCTGTCAGTCATGGTTTGAGAACAGCAGCATGACTGTGCCCAGAAGAATTAAAATATGAAAAACTACAAACCCTTGTGGGTCAAAGGGCTGGCAGCATAGCCAAGAGCCAATGCTTCAGCTACTCCAGTCTAATATGAAGCAAATATGTTCTGAAGTCCCATGCATATGCTGAGGTGATGTACCTAATTTCAGTGCCCACAGAGACTGCTGAGAATCACCAGACCAAACTCTCATATAGTGAAGAGTTACTCTATAGTGGACATTGTTAGCTTACTAATATTGCAATGTTTTATGGTAAAGGACTTCAGCTCTTAGGTTTTAGTACCATTTTTCTTCATTCAGTAACTGAAGTTACTGTCAGGATAATTTATGTTAAAAACTGCAAAATTTTAAAAGAATTAGCTAATGTATATAGATTATGAAAATTAAGCATATCAGTTATTGTTCACATATTTCCAGTCATGCCTCTATAGCTGTTTGATGCAGCCAGAAGAACTGGATATAAACTCAGTAATGGAATCTTGATAAAAACTCTGTTTTCCATCTCACCTTGTAAAACATGTCCCCCTCTTCCATCAGCTTGCTCAACAGGATAACCATGATGTCTGGCTTGGAAGTGGCCATCGCCCAGGTTGCTGGACCTGTAGTGTACAGGATGCATGATGGGTAAAAAACTCATACAATGCAAAAGGTGGTAAGGGAGGAAAGCTAAGGTGGAGAAACTTCTTGAGGCGAAAATTTCTGCTGGAGAGAACAACTTGGTATAGCCAAACAAGGAGCAACATACTTCCAAACAACGAGCTGGACCCTGTTCATACTGCCTTAGTTTTCAGTTCATTCGAAATGACTCACAACTGTTGGAGTCATTCCCAAAAGAGGGCCCTAGTATCCTCTGACTGGCAATGGGGGGAGGGGGCAGCAAGACAGTTATATTCTGGAAAAAGTGACTGAGGAAGAAAATCAAAGTTACACAAAGAATCTCTATTCATGCAAACTTTAAACAAAGTTGTCTTTGGTGTACTACAGAAATCTGAATAAACTTGGACTTGCACTTTTTTGTCTAATACCTTTGTGTCACCATGACAGGAATGATCAGAGCTTTAAAACCCCTCAGTTTTCAGAATGATGTTCACTTCAAGCAGGACTTATACCCGTGAAGCACTTTGGATGACTAAGTACAATCCCCTTCTAATACAGTCTGAAAGCCCAATTCTGTAGCCGTCTTATTCAAGGCTTTCAAAAACTCCTATAAGTGCTAGTTGTCTTACTTGGCAATTATCCAACAGGGAAGTATTGATACAATTAGGTATAGAGAAGCATTTCACATGGCTTTGGGAGAAGAATAAATTTCCAGTATTTTACAAGTGAGTCAGGTCTTGAGTTCAAGTTATTCTCTGCAACAGTAAGGGTTAAAATAATTATTTGAAGATGAGAAAAATGAAAAATGGGTATGTGGGGAGAAAGATGCAGGCAGGCAAAATCATGGAAAGCAGAGCTGTCAGACCACCAAGCTGGATGCTGACAGCAATGAAGTATACCTCGTGGGCGACTCGGTAGTGTCTGACAGCCTTTGAGGGAAAGGAGAAAACAAAAAAGTTGTTGGAGAGGGAGAAAAAAATGGGTGAAGGTGAATTTAAAAAAAAGGAAAAAGCAGCAGTGAGAGGCAGGCAGCAAAGCAGCCAAGGCACCAGCAAATTTCCTTGTGATGCGAGAGACTGTCTCAAATATAGAAGCATCTACAGCGCAGGGAAAGAAGCAGCTGGACAGCAGCATATCAGCCCAACACAGCTGTTGAATTGTTTACTGGTCTTTCTTGGAGAAAGACCTTATTAAGAATTGCTTCTTTAGTTTGCCAAAGCTAGGCAATGAATGTAACACATATCAATTCTAGTCTCTTCTGGTGAAGCAGAAGAAGCATTCCTTGAAAAGTGGGCATGCTATTTCAGGGGAGTACACCATGTTTACACATCCTAGGAAGAAATAGCTCTTGCAAGAGTCACGCAGGTGGCTTTCCTTTCGACTCCTCCCTACCTATCTTGGCTCCTTTCTTCAAGAGGGTGACTACAACAGAAGTATTGCGGCAACCCACCGCCCTGTCGAGGGGTCGCATCCCACTGTAGTCCACATGCTCAATCATGGCACCATGATCCACCAGGAACTGAACCTACAAATAAGCAAACAACTGAATCTGCATCATCCTGGAAGAAAGTCCTCATAATTAGGCAATTAGGTCAAGACTCCTTAAAGCTAAGAGTGGTATAATCTGTTAAATGATGAATATTTTGTCCTGTTGCCTCTCATAGCTACTGAGTGGCTAGAGGCAGTTGTAGTGGGAAACTTTCCAATGGCCATTATGCCCAACTCTTTGATCACAGATAAGACTGTTTACCAATCCAGGTTCTAGATCATAATGCATCGTAAGCAACAGATATGTTGCATAGGAAACAGTAACAATTGCAGGTATGACTATGATCCCAAAGATCAGAATATTGCACCCCTTTTGTTTTCACACTAAATGATTCCCACTATCACAGCCTGTCAAACAGAATATGGATAGTAAATCTATGGCATATATACAACAAATGACATAGGTGGTGGTATTTAAGACTCCCTAGACCAGTGGTTCCCAAACTATGCACTATGATTTCCTGGGGTGTCACCAAAGCCATCTAGAAGTGCCACAGAATCCTTTCATCCTTCCTCTCCCCGCTCCTCGCCCAAAGTACAGTACAGCATTTACTTCCAGTTTCTCTGCTGTCTGTGCATGATAGCGAGAGAGAATCCTGGCCCAGTCTTGCCAAAGGACTGAGTATCCTGCCCTCCTGTTCGCAAGGAAGCCTTCGCCCTGCCCACCTCCTACAAATGCAGCTTCTCCATTTTACTGGAGGTTGCTTCTCTCAGAGATTTCAGGCCAGGAGTGTGTTTCCACTAAGTTGTTCTTGTTGTTTAGGCGTAAAGTCGTGGCCGACTCTTCATGACCCCAGGGACCAGAGCATGCCAGGCCCTGCTGTCTTCCACTGCCGCCCGGAATTTGGTCAAATTCATGTTGGTAGCTTCGAGGACACTGTCCAACTATCTCGTCCTCTTGTCCCCTTCTCCTCTTGCCTTCACACTTTCCCAACATCAGGGTCTTTTCCATTGAGTCTTCTCTTCTCATGAGATGGCCAAAATATTGGAGCCTCAGCTTCAGAATCTGTCCTTCCAGTGAAAACTCAGGGTTGATTTCCTTCAGAATGGATAGGTTTATCCTCCTTGCAGTCCAGGGGACTCTCAAGAGTCTCCTCGAGAACCACAATCCAAAAGCATCAATTCTTTGGCTGTCAGCCTTCTTTATGGTCCAGCTTTCACTTCCATACATCGCTGATGGAAAAACCATAGCTTTGACTATGCGGACCTTTGTCAACAAGGTGAGGTCTCTGCTTTTTAAGATACTGTCTAGGTTTCTCATTGCTTTCCTCCCAAGAAGCAGATGTCTTTTAATTTCACAGCTGCTGTCACCATCTGCAGTGATCATGGAGCCCAAGAAGGTAAAATCTATCTTCATATCTTCCCCTTCTGTTTGCCAGGGGTGATAGGGCCAGTGGCCATGATCTTAGTTTTTTTTAATGTTGAGCTTCAGACCATTTTTTGCATTCTCCTCTTTCACACTCATTAAGAGGTTCTTTAATTCCTCCTCACTTTCTGCCATCAGAGTGGTATATTTTGCATATCGGAGGTTGTTGATATTTCTTCCTGTAATCTTAATTCTGGCTTGAGATTCATACAGTCCAGCCTTTCGCACAATGTATTCTGCATATAAATTAAATAAGCAGGGAGAAAATATACAGCCATTTCGTACTCCTTTCCCAATTTTGAACCAATCAGTTGTTCCATATCCAGTTCTAACTGTTGCTTCCTTCCCACATATAGAGTTCTAAGGAGATGGATAAGGTGGTCAGGCACTCCCATTTCTTTAAAAACTTCCCATAGTTTGCTGTGGTTGACACAGTCAAAGGCTTTTGTGTAGTCAATGAAGCGGAAGTAGATGTTTTTCTGGAACTCTCTGGCTTTCTCATAATCCAACGCATGTTAGCAATTTGGTTTCTAGTTACTTTGCCCCTTCGAAATCCAGCTTGCACTTCTGGGAGTTCTCGGTCCACATATTGCTGAAGCCTACCTTGTAGGATTTTGAGCATAACTTTGCTAGCGTGTGA